AGCCGCCACCCGCCGCCATCAGCCACCATACACCACCACCAGCACCAAGATGGTTCTCTCCAGCTATGGAGGACCATCTCAAATCTATCAGTTGATCTAGCTTGATCATAGGAGTCCGCTCCCGGGGCACAGTCCCTGGGGCGGCTCTAACGCATCTCTCTGTTGTGACATCGTAGATCCGTCTCCGGCGTAGAAGCACTCTCTCAGAGCAGGTGGTCAAAGTCGATGTCGTATCACTGTTGTAGTGGAGCCAGGAGACTCGAGGTGAGGATACTGAACCTCGCATGCGGAGCTTGCCGCTATAATGGAGTTGGGCTGACAAGCCAACCGACTCGAGGCGAGGGTACTGAATCCTGCTTGTAGAGCTTACCGCTATAATGGAGTCAGGTTGAGAAGCCATGTAACTCAGGGAAAAGGTATTGAACCTCGCATGCGGAGCTTGCCGCCATAATGGAGTTAGGCTGAGAAGTTAGTTGACTTGAGGCAAGCGTACTGAACCTTGCATGCGGAGCTTGCTGCTATAATAGAGTCGGGCTGAGAAGCCAGGCGACTTGAGGTGAGGGTACTAAACCCTACATGCGGAGCCTGTCGCTATAATGGAGTCTGGCTGAGAAGTCAGGTGACTCGAGGCAAAGGTACTGAACCTCGCATGCAGAGCTTGCCTCTATAATGGAGTCGGGCTAAGAAGCCAGGCGACTCGAGGAAAAGGTACTGAACCTCGCATGATTGGGCATAACACCCTATAATCTACGTGTCTAGCTCGTATGATCAGTCTGGGTTAAAGAGGAATGGTACCCGATGCTTTGCTGCATCGCTGGTCGTACTAATAATTGATGCCTCGGTGTCTTGGTTGTTTGCGGAGAGCTATGTGGCGGTGCTACTTAGAGCTTGATAGTGTAGCTGCTGTTAGGAGGTGCGCAACGAAACTACTATCAGGAACTGGTCAGCAGGGTCGTTGAGGCCCGGGTAGCGAGCTGCTAGCAATAGGTGAGTAACACGACTATTGAGAGTTAGGAAATTAGACTACCGAGAGTTGGACCACGAGGCTACTATTTTCAATCTAAAACACCAATGTCACATCGGGGATGCTCCATCATGCGTAGTGTTAGTTCTGCATGTACTTTAACTCTTCCCCTTGGGAATAAAAATCACTTCTACATAGTGTCGTACCAACCCTACTCCCCCCTCACCATTTTCTAAGAGTAGGTGGGGAACGGAAATGATGGATGCATAGTTGCAGGAGATTAGGCGACACAATTACTGAGAAAAGCTAAGCGATCCAAGTACTAACAAAAACTAGGCAGCGCGACTAGCACGACTGCTGGGAGTCAAACAACATAACTGCTGATGACTACGCTTTGCAGCTGCTGAGTTAGGTCGCATGGCCGGTGAGGGTCGGGCTATATGACTGCTGAGGTCCAGGCAGTGCGGCTGTTGAGAGTTGAGCAACGAGACTTCCTCATAGCTGCTAATATCCGAGCAACATACTTGTTGAGGGTTATTTTAGAACGCTTCACGAGTAGTAGTAGTGTACTACTCCTCTCCCTTATATATATATATATATATATATATATATATATATATATATATATATATATATATATATATATATATATAGAGAGAGAGAGAGAGAGAGAGAGAGATCCGAGCCGCAGCACGTATTCTGCTTGAGCGGGGTTTGCGGAACATGAGCGCTAAATGGTTGATTTTTGTCTTGTAAAATTGGCCCAAGTTTTGTTGATGTAGCCCAACAACTTAAAAGAGTCCATATGAAGTGTCATAGCCCTTATGTCGTTGGAGGAGCCCAAATTTGTTACAACCCAAAATCATTTTTGTTAGAGCCCACATAAAATCAGCCTAAATTCATATTCTCTTATTCTTCCTTTTTTAAAATCGAGTTGATTTCGGGTTTCACCACATTTTCCCAAACATATTTCGCTGAGCGGAATTGTAATACTTAGTCGTTGAGTACCTGATTGTCTAACTTATTCTTGCAGAAATTGGGTCGGCTGATTGTTGAATCAGCCCAATAATAAAACATCATGAATTACTGCAGACCGTTTGTAACTTATGAGCCCAAAATAGAAACTCACTGCAATTTTTGAGCCCATTTACTTAATTTAAGCCAAAACCCTATTTTCTTCTTATATTTTTTTGTTAATGGAATTAAAGACATAGTGCTGCCCATTGTATTTCTTCGTTAGTTTGAACAAATGGATCATCATGGCTTGTTAGATCTGCACAAAGAGATACACTGGATGGAATAGCGCCATTGATATGTGAAGAAGGACTCTTGGTGAAATTGCTTTATCCTTCGTCAAATATGGATGGTGTAGTGAGGATCGGGATGGCAGCGACATATTTTCTGGCGCCTTGGAGCTGCTATGGTCGGTGGGTGGTTCCGGTGATTGAAGGAGTTTGTCGCAAGGAGTGGTCCGGCGATGTTGCGATTCTGATGCAACAACTGCCTGAGAAAACAAATGTTCTGGTTTCAGGTCTCCATTAGATGCTGCTGGAGACACGTTGGCGGAGTCGACGTCGGTTGGTGATGATCAAGTGGGGTTGCAGGTGTTGGCGAGCTTCTAATGGGTCCGCTACCGGGTGGAATTAACAGGTAATCCAGTGGTGTTGTGGTTCTGCTATGGTGAAGGAAACAGTGGTGACTGCGGTGGTAAGAGCGACCAACAATGGTTTTGTGGGTTCCGAAGGAATGTGTCACTGGTTGGAGGCTTGGCAGCTAGAGGCAGCGACGGTACTATCCCGTGGGGTTGTCAATGTTGAAGATGGTTGGCGACTAAGGGTCATCCGGCGGCTGTGATTTGTTTGATTTGTAACTTCGTCGGTGAGCAATGGTGGTTGACTATCGATCTTTGGTTCCAGTCGGCGGCATCGTCTCTGTTAGAAGAGGTGGATCAACACAGTAACTGGCGATCGTGTGGCTTGGGTTGGAAGCCGATTCCGGCGATGCCGTGGCTTCATTTGCAGATGGCAATAGTAGAGAATGCTAAGGCTGGAGGCGGCGATGGAAGCCACAGATGGAGTTGTCACGTTGCTGTTTGAACCTGCTCAGGGACCATAGGTCATTGATTGGTGAAGTTGAGCCGTGATTAGGGAAACCCGTGAAGAAGCGTTGACCGGTGGATCTGGTTCTTTTGTTTTTCCTATACATAGAGGATTGGACCACATGGGTCCCACATTTGGTTTTTGTCATCTCCTGTTGCCTTGTTGACTCTTAATAATCTTTTGTATTCGTAGGGCCCATGCAACATGTAACTGACAAAAAAGACGAATGTAATAGGTGGTATAGCTGGTTACCACCTCGTCTCCTCTTCTGTTTTCTTTTTTGTTGGTCATGAAGCAACAAAGAATAATACAGCTGGTGATTTGCTAGACCACACACAACTCTTTGTCCAATGTGTAGACATGGTTATCCCCCTTTTTTTTCTTTGAAACTTATTTACTGTAATGATAACTAGTGCAAGGGGTAATTTTTATTAGTGTTTTGGAATGCACACAACTTAAGTAAACTTACACACATAAAATCATTTCTAAAATGAGTTTTTAATAATATATGTACTGAAATATGGTAAATTTGTAAACGCTTCATTTCTCCTCAACTTCCTTAGTAAGCCATCAGAAAGGATAAGAAAACTGATTTGGGATAAAATTGGGTTTACTGAAAGTCTGGAAAAGTAAAAAATTTATAAAAACTTATTTTCTTCTCTAAACAACAACTTGAGTAAACTTATATACAGAAAATCAAAAGCATGAGATTTTCTAAAAAATTTATGGATTGAAAGTGGGGTAAAAACTCATGAAAACCACTTCTCTTTCTCTTCTCTTATTCTTCAAACTTCCAAAGAAAACACCAAATAAACAACAATAATTTCTCTTCTTCTCAAACTTACTGAAGAACACCAACATATACAAAAACTGGTCTGACATGGTTTTCTTCTCATGAAACTTTCATTTCATTTCAGCTTGTTTAACAAGCTATTAAGAGATGAATAAGAAACAAATTTGGAAAAAAAAATCGTTTTTTTTCTCTAAACTTCTAAAGAAAAAACACCAAAAATATGAACAAAAAGTGGTGCTAAAACTCGTTTTTTTTTTTTTTTAAATGTGCAAACATCTCAGCTGTGCTTACAAATAGTTGGTGCAAGTAGTGAAGTTGTTCATAGAAATCTTAACTAAAAACGATTTTTTGATAATATATGTGTAGAAAATGAGGTAGAAACTCATAAAAATTTCTTTTCTCTTCCTCCTACTCAACAAATCCCCAGGATATGAACCAAAAACAAATCTATGAAGTTTTTTGCAAACTTAAGGAATATTGGGTGAAGAAAATCGTGTAGATCTATAGATCTAATCTAAGAAACGTGACGGTTCTACATATCTAAAAGATGGTGAAGCAAATTTGAACAGATCTTGGCAAAAAAAAAAAAAAAAAAAAAAAAAAAAAAAAACAGATCTGAACACATGATACTAGAAATTAACAGATTTGAGGAAACCTGAGATGAATACACATAATATCTGAGGAAGAACGAGCTTGAAACCAACTCAGGCTTTTGCTACTTGCTCGAGTCCGGGATGACGCCAAATGATGCGACATAGACCTCTGACGAGTCTTCTGGTCTTCTTCTGCGGCAGAGATCTGAACATCACAGAGCAAAGTCGTTAGAGTCGCCCCAGGGACTGTGGCCCGGGAGCGGACTCCGACGATCAAGTTATATCAAATAGTAGATTTGAGATGGTTCTATTTAGCTAGAGAGAACCATCTTAGTGATGGTGGCGGTATATGGTGGCTGACGGCGGCGGGTGGCGGCTAAGCCACCCGGTCGGAGTATAGTGTGGAAGCTGAGTTATGGGGGAAGTCTAGTGGCGGCTGAGTCACTTGGGGAAGAGTCCCTCTTCATGGAGGAGGCACTATTCTATTTATAAGGGATAATTAGGTCAATGGGAATTGGGTAAGACCTTGGGCTAACCCAATTCAGGCCTAGCTAGCAAGGAGCTGGGCAAGGCCGCGCGGAGGTGCTGGCCGGGGTTGGTGGGCACGCCCTAGGCAAGGATAGCGGGCGCGCACCAGGAGAGGCCGATAAGGGGTCGCCAGGCAAGGGAGCGTCAGGCCGGGCCGACAGGAGAGTCCTCAACAGGACCGGAAAAGGGATCCCCAACAAGGCTGACAAGGGAACACCAGACAGGGCTGGCAGGAGCGCGCCAGCTCTAGGCCATGCTAATGGACCATATATCATCACGACACTTAAGCTTATGGCTATTGGGGAGTCGCCCGACTTTATTGACAATTATATGAGAATGTATAAGAGAACTGCAATATAAAGTTTGTATAAATTGGAAAGAGGTGTTGTTGAAACCTTTATGGACAAATTAATTGCACAAACTTTCGTTGAATGATATGTAACAACTATATGTGGCACATGAAGAAAGACATGGTTTTCCGGTTATGCTTGAAAGCATTGATTACACACACTGGAACTAGAGAAATTGTCCGTGAGGTGGAAATGTTAGTATGCAAGTGGTCATCATATAATGCCTTTATTTATATTAGAGGTTGTTGCTTCCAAAGATTTATAGATTTGACATGATTTTTGTGGTTGCGGGTTCCAACAACGACGTCAACGTTCTTGATCAGTCACCAATATTCAATGATCTTTTGTTAGGAAACACAAACAACTTTGAAAAAACTTGGCAGGTTAAATTTACGATGCAAACCAATATGAATAGTTTGGGAATATTGTATTTTTTTTAAATGTTTTTTGTTTTAAAATTTGGGCTATCGTATTTTTTCAGGTGATACTGGTTTTAGTTTTAAATGTTATGTTTAATTTAGGATGTATTTAAATAGCATGTTTTATTAATTTGTATTTATTTGTATAATTATTTAAAAAATCCAAATAAATAAATAATAAAGAAATAAATCGAAAAAAATAAGAGAAATAAATCCAAAAAAAGAAAAAAAAAAGAAATGATGACATGGAAAATAATGGATGTCATAACATGTTGTCAATTTACTCGATTGATGTTATAGCACCACATATGGCGTAGTATGTGAGGTGACACTTTTTTTTTATTGTGATAACACCCTTTAACATATTGTCCACACCTACTAGTCTTAAGGTTTATCGACGCTACCTTTAATACTAATGTAAAGCACAACTAACTCACACTACTAAAATTACCGATATATTTTCCTATTATATGATGAATATGGTTTTATTGCTGCTCTCTTCAAGATTTTATAACATTTGGTTAAATATCACACATAGACCTGTTAACGGGGTAGGTTGGAGCAAATCACCCTTGATCCATACCCGTTAAAAAAATAAAAACATGATTCACCTCGCTCCAATAACTCTCAGGGTCTTGAATAGTCGAATCCATACCCATATCCACTAGATCAACGAATACCCGACCCGTTAACCCGGCCCTTTTATAATATTCAATTTTCATAGCTTTTATGTCTTCCATAAAGTAATATTTTTCAAAAATATAAAATGTCTATTTAAACAATATGTACATTAATTAATACTCAAAGTGCAATACAATAAAAATCATATTTTATTTGGACATCGAGGTGTGTATATATATATATATATATATATATATATATATATATATATATATATATATATATATATATATATATATATATATATATATATATATATAACAAGCAACCATTATTTTTTCAAGTTTTTGAGAATGGAATTATTATGGTTTCCTACATTTATAAAATGAAAAATTTTAGTATATAATTCGGGATGTTACATCAAAACATTCGTGCCTCGCGTTATTGTGGAATGTTTCAAGTACGTCTAATAGCAACGGAAAGATGTATTCTTACGTTCTACCTGGGGCTAGTACAAGTACACGGGGTGAAATGAATCAACAATGGTGATACTGATGGTGGAACAACAAAGACCAAGCTCAGGCAGCAGCTGGAACAAAGAGGATTAAGATGGTGATCACCAAGCAACAGCTTCTGACAACTTTTGCTTTTCAGACGGAGTGAGAGTGATATGAAATGGAGGTCAGAGCTTCAATCCATACCTGAAGAGGATGAATATCATTCCAAGTTGCCATGATTAGCCACTTCCTTAAAACACCTGATTAATTAGAGTTTAGCATTATTACAATAGGAAACTTGAGTCTAGAGTATATGTATGTATCATTATGTATATGTAAGTCACCACCACAGATACGCTGATTATGGAATGGAACAACAAATTGATCTTACTTGGTTTCAGTCAATTTTTTTATTTGTGGTTGCCTGGTTGGAAAGAGATGCGTCAAACCCAGTTAGATTAAATTTTTATATATCAAACATTTACAAGGTAAACTGAACAGACAAACAGTAAGAAATTAAAGGAGATTGCATCTAGTAACTCATAATCACAAATGCAAATTTCTTTCATCTCATGTTTAGATTAAGATCAACTCAACCTTGGAATGGACGTCCACGTTTCAAAATTCAAATGCTGAAAGGTGCAAACAAACATAACACATACGATATATAATGGAAATTACAAACAGCATAAACCGAAAAAACCCCAAAAACATGCTTCTTAGTTCTTACTCACTCACTCAATTTAGTAAAATAACTTTAGGATCTAGTATCTCTACAGATCTTTGTTACCAATTCGATATACTATACGCCCTCTAGTCGAATCATATCGGCTCACTTCGATTTTCACTTTATCCCCCGGCAACATTCGTATAGAATTGCGACGAATTTTCCCCGATACATAACCTAGAACCATATCACCATTTTCTAGACGAACCCAAAACATTCCATTCGGAAGCGATTCGGTAATCAGACCTTTAGCCACCCATTTTTGTTCGCCAGAGTCGGATGGTTTAGATTTGGACTTGCCCAACCCAAAGGTACCTTTATCGTTGCTGCTCGCCTCAGCTCTGACGATAGGGAGTCTGCTAGGGTTTGGGGCACAAGGCAAAAAACCCAAACAGGAACTTCTCAATTGAGGTCTGGATATGGTGTTCCAAAGCAGCAGCCAAGAACAAGTCCCGAATGTCGTAGAAGCCATTAATAACAAAGGTTCGGTTCTGTGTGCCAATTGACGGATACGAGAGAAAAAAGAAATACCAGTCCTAAAACGTTTGTTTTTTTTTTTTTCCAATAAAGGAAAGGAAGGAAATTTTTGACCGAAAGAAATAGTGGGGAATATAATTCATTATTTTGTGTTGGTGTTTTGGAGTTTGAAAAAATAAAAGAAAGAAAATTTTAAGTTTTTATATTCCAGATTTAGGAATAAAAAGAATACAAAACTTAAATTTTTTCTCCCACTTACTTTATTTTCAAATCCGTCAAATTTAAGAGGAAAATATGACTGCAAAATCTTTTTCCCTTTCATTTTCATTCCATTAATGAAACTCGGAAATATGATTTTTCTTTAACATCCTTCATTTTCCCTCCGTATCCATCCATATACCTCCTTAAGTGGAATTCGGGAACAATGCATTAATGGAAAATTTGAAAGGAAAATTTCTTTTTATTCCTCAGCTTTGATTTAACCAAGCTCGTCGTCTACAAGCTCTAACACTCCATTATCATCTCCCCATTGTTCGTCGCCACCACCACATCACCCCTTGGTTCTTCCTCTACAACCAAAACAACATTTTCTTGAAAACAGTCAAGCGTTTGCATTCAAACTTGAGTCGAACGAGTGGATTGAACTTACATATCTCCGTTTATTGTTTCAATTCCGCAGGAAGTATTATTCATAGGTTCCAGTAGGGTGTTCTTCAACGCCACTGCAAATATTTTAGTTTTGCCCTAATTTTGAAGTCCTTGTGGCTCCAGTGGGGTTTTTTTCAACACCACTGTAAATACTAGTGTGATTGGATCATCCTTAATATCTTGCTTGAATAAGCTTTTGTTGGCCGAATTATGCAACAATCATCATCGACATTTGTTTAATACATGGAGAATTGATATGTTTAACAATTGAGTCTAGTGAAGTTGCGATTATGCGTCCTGATTTGATTAAATGTTTGTTAAAATTATGATATTTTAAACTTTTATTTATATTAATTATTAAGGGTATAATAGACAATTGATAAAAACAATATTTTAAAATGACTACTAATTGTTAGAAAAAGTATTAAAAATAAGAACTTGAGTAAATTTGATATTTTGAAGTTTGTAAAGTAAATATAATACTTAAAATTTAAGTTGGATAAATATGATATTTTAATGTTTAAAAATGGTATATATGAAATTCTCCCCATATTAAACATGGTGCCCTTCATGGCGTGCAAGACGTGTAATGGCACAAGATGTGGTGTAACCGTTACGAAAACGTTAAGATGAGTTTATTAAATGAGATGTCCAAATAATGTGTCAATGCGTACTTCATCACGTTACGATGCAAGATTTTCAAGGTGGTTTTTTTTTTTTTTTTTTTTTTTTTAATTTTATTTATTTTTTTTATTCGGGCCTAAAATAATTGAGTTTTTGTTAAACCTTTTATATTAAATATTAATAAAACACTTCTAAAAACTTGATATATTTGATAAAATTCAATAATAATATGATTTATTTTTTTTAATATATATAAAATAGTCACACTTTGAAAAACATCATTATTCGTTAGAGCTTAACTTTGATCTCATCGGCAATCTTACACCTCATATTATTTAGAACATTGATATTAATAGAGGTGAACATGGCACCGGTTTGGTGCAACTTTTGGTTGAAACTGAACAAAAAACACAACTTCGGTTTTTGAAATTTAGAAACCGTGCGGTTTGGTTTTTGTGTTTTTTTCCTTTTTTTTTCTTACACAAAAATAGACTCAAGAAACATGGTCGGTTCATTGGTGAGGTTGCGGTTTTTTAAAGGCCCGGAACCATTTGTTAATGAACCAGTAAAAATCAACCGGTTCAATGAAAAATCAGATTCAGCGAACATGTTCAATAATTAAAAAAACTAGTTCAACCATTAAGAAAGCTACCAAAACCAGCACATTTGATAGATAATGTCATAAGAAACCTTAAGTTTGGTCGAAAATGTTGGTTGTACTCTCAAACAAATTTTTGGTTCGTTTGTGTTGCAAACTTATCATTTTTTGTCGGCTTTACCATTTTTATCTTTAATAGTAGCTTTCCAGGTTACCATGAAATATTATTTGCGAAAAAGCTTTAAGATTACAATTTTTTTTGCAAAATACACCTTAGTAACATATATATATATATATATATATATATATATATATATATATATATATATATATAGATCCGGTAAGAAATTTTTTTTGGTGGAAAGGTAAGAATTTTTTTTTCTACATATTTTTTTGACGAACAAAATAAATGAATCATTAGATGATTCATTTGTAAGATGATTCACAAGAAAAAATTCCCAAAAAAACATCTTTATGATTCATTTTTAAGTAAATTAAGAAAAAATTCATTTTTATGATAATTTTAGTGAATAACAACAAAATCATTGTATAAATGAATCATCGAGATGCTTTTTTTTGAGAATTTTTTCTTGTGAATCATCTAATGATTGATTTTGTTTGTTCGCGAAAAAAATATGTAGAAAAAAAATTTCTTACCTTCCTACAAAAAATTTCCTTCTTATTTGATCTTGACTCTCTGTCTTTCTCTCTCTCTCTCTCTCTCTCTCTCTCTCTCTATATATATATATATATATATATATATATATATATAATAGTAAATAGTTTTTTAAAATTATTGATATCAAAACTTTATATCAAACCAATATAAATATTACCGTATTTATATTATAAAACGAAAACCGAAACATATTTTTACCTTTAAATATGGTAAATTTTATATTGGTTCGATATAAACTTTTGACAACTAAATTTTAAAAAATTATTTAGTTTTATCAAATTTTAAATATATTTTCTTAGTTAATACTTAAACTTTTCAAAACAAAATTAAAAAAACATATGTTAGCTAATAATTAACTATGCTAAAATAGTTAAATATATGAATAATATGATATTAATTAAACTCAATTAATATTCTTTATAAGGAAAATAAAAATATTTTATATGTTTAAAAGATTTGTATTTCAGAAATAATAAAATATCATATATTTTTTTTTTTAAAAATAAATATATTTGTATCATGACTTAGACTAATATATTTATATTTTATATGTTTAAAATGTTTATGCTTGTATTTCATAAATAACAACTTATACAACTATATTTATTTTTATAAAAAAATATGATACATTATTATTTCTGAAACACAAAACTTTTAAACATATAAATAACTTATTTCCTTTAAAAAATTATTGTATGGAAATAATATCGTTATATAGTGACTATGATTACTTCCGAAACTGCTTTACGAGCCATGAATATATCCAAAAAAATCCAAAAAACCACATAAATCATAGATAAAAATAAGATTAGATAAACTTATATCACACCAATAACTTTATTAACTTGTAATGAAGTATAAGGTACAAGGGAGCACATATTTATATATGAAAGTTCTATCCCTTCTTTCTTATTCAGGCGGTGTGGGATCCCTATACAAGTCTTTCCCTTATTTATTTCTTATTTTTTTTTATTTTTTTATAAATTAAATCAATTATATTAGTCATTTCTTTAATTAATTAGCCACATATGTATTAGTGGATATATATATATATATATATATATATATATATATATATATATATATATATATATATATATTAGTAGGGTTTGTACCTGTGCTAAGCACGACCCACAGTTTGTTATAAGTGTTAGAATAGTGTCTAAGGCTGCAACTATATTAGGCAAGTATTTGACCCGATTGTGCATGGTCCTTTTGGGTTGCCTTCACCATAGCAACTTGATAGGATGATTTATTAAAAGAGAGTAAATATTATTAGTATATTATGAGAATAATATAAAGAATAATATATTAATATAAGTCATAGAATTAATTAGAATTAATTTGGTGACTTAAAGAGATTAATTAAATAAGAGGGTACAAACTGTCAATTACTTGATAGTTAAACTTTAGACTGTAAATCCTTATTGATAAAGGATTGGACGATTTCTAAGGCTAGGATAAGCCAAAATCGTTCATAGGGTTATCAAGGAAAGGATATGGATTAACTTAAAGTCTAAGTTATCCAATTAGGGTTTAAGCTGTAACCCTTAAGGAGTCTACAAGTATAAATAGACCCTATGGCTGAGGGAATTCGGCATCCCATCTAAAGTAGAGAGACTCTGGCCGAATTCCTTCCCTCTCCTCTCTCCCAAATCATCCTCCTTGCTATTTGGTGTTTGTAAGCCATTAGAGGAGTGACAATTGTGACTCTAGAAGCTCCAAGACAACAAGATCAACAAGGAATTCAAAGGTATGATTCTAGATCTGTTTCAATATTGTTATTACACCTAAATAGTCATTGGAAGTCTTGGATTCAAAGCATGTTTGATTAGAAAGCCTAGATCCAAGCATTAGGGTTTTGCATGCGCACATAGGAAAGTTCTTATGGCTAAAACCCATCAATAAGATGCAAGAAAAAGCAAACATGTTCCCAATTGTTCATGTATCATAGCATTTTATTTTCACTTATTATCATTACATCTTTGTATTTGAAGAAATTCCTATCAAGTCATTGTACTTTAGATAACGATCCATATAGTTAATTAAAAGCAAGACACACACACAAGAGTGTATATATATATATATATGTGTGTGTGTGTGTGTGTGTGAGAGAGAGAGAGAGAGAGAGAGATAAATAAATAAATAGATAGAGAGAGAGATAGGTACATGAAAACTTCACTAATGACTATGATAATAACGCCTCAAAAGAAAATTTCCAAACATCTAAAAAGAAATATATTGAAAGCTCGTATAAAGTATATATCAGCCTAAACTGATGCATCTGTCAACTGCTCAAGATTTGTCTTAACATGACCCTTCTACCGATCATACACACACAGGTTGTGGCAATGATACCAAATTACGAAAGTAACACTCCTATTTTTTAGTTGTTGCAATTGTTCTTTTTTTTACAAACACATAGGTTTAATAAGTCCATTGTAGC